CATGTTGGCATGTTAGTACGGGATTACAGTCTGAAGATATATAGAAGAGCACGTCTGAAAATTTCGATGGGGTTGTGTCAGGTAAAAAAGTTTTATATTTATGTGAGAAGGTGGCAAACGAGCCGGTGGTCCACTCGATGTTAAGTGATAACCACTGCCCATTGGCATTCGCAACACCCGCAGGGTTGCAGATGCGTTGACGCCCCGGCTACCTCACTGAAAAAACGAAGCGCAGAAGTATAACACTTCAACTTCACGCCGGTGTGATCTGCCCATTCGTGCAACAGAGAAGACTGTTTCGTGGCCCTACCACACTTTTCTTTCCTCACTCTCCACTTTCGTTTTTATTGTCATGGTAAACAACATGTCTCTATTAGCAGTGTAAGTTGCGAGGTGTGTTTTTATTATATGTGGACTTTGATTTCTAGACTTTGTAAAGTAAAGTATATCATAACGTTTTTTGCATTATGTGTTTTCATCATTCAATTATCTTTTTAACTTCTTAACTTTGAATTAATCTATATATATATAAAAATGAATTGCTGTTCGTTAGTCTCGCCAAACTCAAGAACGGCTGGACCGATTTGGCTAATTTTGGTTTTGAAATATTTGTGGCAGTCCAGGGAAGGTTTGCAAAATTGCATGGAAAATCGAAATAGCAACAATTTTATTTTCCCATACAAACTGTCAAACATTTTATGGGTGCGTTCTGAAAATCCTTTTTCTATGTGTCAAATTCACAAATTCCTTAGAAATAATTTATATGGCGAAACAACGTTTGCCGAGTCAGCTAGTAAAGTATAAATTCTATTGAAGTATTAAATCCAGATATTCATTTGTTTTATTCGAACAGCACGAGAAAATAATAAGGCATATTTATCTTGCACTCTAGTTGCAGCGCTGTATCGCGCATTCAACACGCTCCAGGAAGACGAAGTCTTTAAATAAATCTTATTGCATTCCATTGTTTAGCTTCAACATTATTCTGCGGTGCTTTGTTTTACGCAAATACTTTAACACGTTACTCAAAAATGTAAGCTAAAATCTCTGGTATGAATACGGTTCTTTTATTCTTTAACGACAATACGTCTAGCGACAAAAATTCAATACACAGTTGTGATACAAATTTCATGTTCATAATAAATTGATATATTAATTTGAACACTGTTCGTTTTGAACTAACCAAAGAAGAATTTTTCTCGCACAATTGGGCAAATGCATATATTACTCGTTCAACAAACTTTAAATCTGTAAGTGATCAAAGATAAAAAGTTTCTTTTAACAAATAATAATAAAAATATTCCTAGACTGCGTCACATTTGCGCTGAGATGGGTAAATACCAGGTTTTAGCATAATCTGCTGCTGACTTAATTCGTATTTACGTAAGCCATACGACGACGTCATAAACCCTTTAGCTTTGAATGCAAATACTGCGAAAATTTATTTAACTTATATCTGCAGGTAAAAGTTAAAAAAAATGACAAATGTCCGATATCATTATTTTTGATTAAAGATTGTTGTAAATTTTATTTCAAAATCAAAAATTCCCAAAATTTATAGAAATATACATTTACAAATTACCACATTGACAACTTTTAATAAGTTCTAAGAACATTCAAATTTCTACATTAAAATACATAATTATTTAAAGAGTTAAAACATGTTTAAGTTTTCATTTTCAAAAGAAAAATAACAATTAATATAATAATAAAGAACCCTGCAGTCTATGAGCACTTCTTAAATCGCTCCAAACACTATTGCAACTCCAAACACTAATACACACAAGGTTTATAAGACCACTAATCCTTGTAAAAGGGCACCGATTTCTCCCAAGGATGAGTCGCGAGGCTATTGAAATAAAAAAAAAACAACCAAATTTTAATAAAGACAAGAATCTCATAGTTAGTGAAATCAAATATAGGCTCAAACGAGCCACTACTGTAAGGCAAGATAAAATAAGCAAGATAATTAGTAAAATTAAAAAAAAAAAAAAGGAAAAGTCGGCCAAGTGCAAGGAAGAGTGGACTCGCGCATGGAGGTTTCCGCACCATTATCTATCACATAAAAACGGCAAAAAAATTTGAGCCCCACTCAAATTTTTATTTTTTTATTTATCTTTTTATTCTGTTTTCTAGTACTTGTTGTTATAGCGGCAACAGAAATACATCATCGGTGAAACTTTCAACTGTCTACCTATCACGGTTCATGAGATACAGCCTGTTGGCGGACGCACAGACAGACAGACATACAGTGGGGTCTTAGTAGGTAAAAAATAAAAATGTTCGTAAAATTAGTTTATCTTAATCATTTTATTCGGGTAAATACAATAAATTATCAGAAAAATTATTAATTAACCGTGTTAAAATTGTCAAAATTTCAAATAACCACAAATCCTTATCCTTACTAATACTATAAACGCGAAAGTTTGTATGTATGGATGGATGTTTATTACTCTTTCACACAAATACTACATAATAGATTTTATTGAAACTTTACAATAATATAGATTATATATCAGAATAACACATAGGCTATAATTTATAAAGATATTGTGTGAATTGTCCAAAATATAGGTAATGATAAGTGTGAACTAAGCAGGGAAAAATCAGCGTCAAGTCTTTATATAAAAATTAAAAGCACGGTTACGGTTAACCCAAGGCTGAGACGTACAATGTTGAGCATTACAAGATATCTACTGCGTCCGATGAAGCTTTAATAGTCTCGGGACTGAAAGCAAAAACATCAGTTAATACAAGATATCTACTCTGTGTTATAATATTAAAAACGTGACCAAAATCTGAGATTGTTAATGAACACGTAACTACAATAATAAAAGTTTATTATAAGGAATAAAGGCAGTGTTTAAATTTGATTTCTGCCACTAAAATATAATTCAAGGCACTTTCTGACATGTCGTATCTGATGTTATATAGCTATAGTCGATATGGCTAGTGACCCAAAAATATTTGTACTTAATTATGCAAATTTCTATTGGATCTTTCGGGAGGCTTGTCTGTTTGTACTATTACGTAATGCTAATTATTTTAGATGAAATTTATTTATTACAATTACGCATATACTGTTAAACATATTGCGAAAAGTTTTTCGTTCATTGATATAATAAAAATTTATTTTTCTACAGTTGAAGCCGCGGAGATGTGTAGTATAATATAGACATTTTGTTATCTGTTGCTACGTGTTTATAACCACTGCCATTGCATTAGATTTCGATGTGACGGTCACGGCCACAAACATAGAGTGCACATGACAAACAAATAGATAACACAAACATTAGCGTCTTATTTACACACGGACGTTAAATGATCAATAAATATTGAGTACGATTACATTACAGAATATTAGTTATCTCTGGCCGTATTTGTTTTAAATGGACATTGGTACGTTTCGAATAGAAGTAAATGTTCTAAAATATATCATTACATTAACCTTACATTTCTATTTTGGATGAATAGAGAAGTTAATTATCTTATTCCCAAAGACAGCTGTAGAGTTAATACCGCATCTTTATCGAGGATTTGCTGGTGACTTTCATGGAGTTTAATTTTAAACTTTTACATCCTAACGTTTCGTTACAAAACAAATGAATAAACTCACGGGAGCTCCGGGTCAACAGTTTCGTCAGGACATCAAACACTTCAAGTTCATACCGACCCGAGACCAAGAGACGTGAAAATTAATCGAAATTATGGTCTAAAAGTTGAAATTATTAGCAATTACCCTTCGAAAAAGTTGAATACCGCCTCTTTATAAACCTAACAATTACGATCCTGAGTCCTGGCAACGTTGTAAAGGAAATTAGGAGTTAAAAATAACTTTGATGAATATCGAATCAATGCCAAATATCGTATCGCCATTTATTAAAAAAATAAAGTGACTCGGTTGACACAGTGGCTTCGAGACGGACGAACGTTGTGGGTTCGATTCTTGCTCGGGTCAAATATTTTTATGCCCTAGAGATAGACAGTAGTATGCCCCACTGATAGTGAATACATTGTCTGACTTACAATGTTCAAAGACTCTATAGAACAGGTCGTTGTCTAGGGGTAAAGGAAGGAAAGTGGTGGATTACTCATTTGACAGACCTTATAAACGCCGCAACATACAGTCCCATTTACTAACCTAGTAGATAAATTACATTATGACACATTCTTCATTCACAGTGTCTGAGTGCTCGCTTTTAATTCAATACACTCGAGCAACCTAAGTTTAAATCCTGATGCCGGCACCAACAAAAATTTTAATTTTATATATATATATAAAATTAAAATTTTTGTTATATATATATATATATATATATATATATATATATATATATATATATATATATATATACATATATATATAATACTTCACTTTAACTTTCTGTTACTCATGTAGTCATTTGTGAATTTTGACATCATCTTGTTTTTATGGAAATTAAGCCCGTTTTGATCGTAAGTGGTCACCGCTCACATTTCCACACACACTCGCAAAACGAGAGGAGTTACATATGCGTTGCCGAAACGAATTAGCGGAAGAAATCTGTTTCAAAATGTATTTATATTAAAGACTTCTTATTCTTTAATAATCTTTCTAGATCACAAGAGTTGTAAAGACAACTCTACAAATATAAAATGAATGGAAATAATGTCATAATACACTGGTATATCTTATTCCTAAATAATATTTTATTTTAAACAATCACAAAGGAGAAACAGTGATAAAGTTTATTATTTCATGTTGGTACTAATATTGTTTTTTACTTTATTCACTGTTTCATGTTCAACACGAATTGAAGTGGCAATAAAGTCGCATGAAAAAATCCTAATGTCTCACTTGTGTTTCCAAGGGCCATTAGTGATTTTCATAATTACATCTTTGGACGTGACATTCGTTATTCATGGATGATGATTTTGTAGCTCTGCTTGTATTTAAGGCAAGGTATTATTTGATATTTTTCACTCAACGCCTCTTTACTTATTTGTAAACATTTTTCAAAATGTTCAATATATTCGTAGCGTTGTTGTCGGCGTCTGTCCTTTGCTTTGTGAGTATGATAACATTTAATATCGTATTATTGATATAAAACATTATATTATTAATTATTGTAAAATTGATTGATATAAAACATTAATATGGCTTTATATTACAATGATTCTTTAATCAGCTAAGGTATATAAATAGCAATCTCTAATGACATGAAATAGCTTGTTTAGGTATTTGCTTTATCTACTTTTACTCTAACACGTATAATAGCTAATAAAATTAAAACTATGATGTTTGAAATCCGATATAAAAATAACGTGTCAATAAATGATTGCTGGAAGACTGAAAGCGTACCGACGTTTTCTCATAGCAACAAGCATTTTCCAGGCTTTAATAATAAAACTTTTCCATGAATAAAAAATTTTACCCAATGATTAAATACAAATTTCCAGTGTCACGGTTTGCCGGCAAGCGTGAGCGAAGCGCACAGCTCCGCCTCCCAGAAGCTGCATTTGTACATCAAGAACTCGACCGAAGGAGTCAATTACCAGCTGTCACCAATAATATCGCAGCTCCGTAATACAAACGAGGAGGTCGAATTTGGACGTAATGCTATACTACCATTTCTAAGTTTTCTGGTAAGATTCCTCTCCACATCGATTGACAAAAAGAAATATTATTCCGGTGTCTTTAGTAATTACACAATAAAAAACAAATTTGCTTTTCTCGATATTTTTATTATTCAAATTATATTTTTATTTATTCTTATTAAAGAAAAATTACACGTTACCTTGTATACGTGTGTAAATATTTATTTTGATTGTTGCCAAATAGGTGTAGACATAATTTGAAACAAGAATTTCCCTATTGGATTGTGTACGCTCAAAGTCAACTGAGCACGGAGAGCGTTTGTTTTGCTAATAATTACATAATGTGAGGAGGATTCGTGTTAATTCTCACACAATTTGAATAAATAATTGCCATCATTTACCGACTCTGTTTACTATGACTGTTTGTATTTTAGATATCAATTGCACGATGTTGAGACTGATCTATTCTAAGTTCCATCTAGGAAGGCGCAAAATTCAATGTTGCAATTCTTGTGTATAATAGCCGAAGTATCCTATAGAGTAACAAGACTATTCCAACTATGTTACTGTGATAGGGCAACGTAACAGTGTTCGCTGTTGCAAAAATGGACGGTGGTTATCACTTAACATCAAGTGAACCGCGAGCTCTCTTGCCATCGTCTAACATAAAACAGAACTTTGGTTGTGATTGGCCAGATTAGTCTCTACTAAATGAGGTCACCTATAAGTCGCACACCTCTCCGCCGAATCTTGTGCAGAAAACTGACATTTTCCTGACCGATAAATATTCGTTTAATATTCGTTGAAAAGCTAACCATTTTGTCCATGCCCTAAGAATAAAAATATCTTTACGGTGGTAGGGCCACGCAGCAGCCTCGGCTGTTTTACGAAAGGCTCGAGTAAGTACCACGACCTCACAGAAGACCGGCCTAAAGTGAAAGTATTATACTTTCGCGTTTCGTCTGGTGAGTGAGGTGGGCGGAGCCCAGTTTTCAAAAAGGTTGTCGACGCATTTGCAAACCTTCGGGGGTAGCAGATGTCCATGGGCATCGGTGTTCACGTAACATCAGGTGAACCGTCTGCTCGCTTGGCAACTTTTCACATAAAAAAAAAACAAAAAATATCTGTAGTTTAAAAAACCAACTGTAGCGGTTGACTTTAAATCCTGTTCCAAGTAATTTTAAAAATTACGGTATAACCTAAATAGTTCAATGAATGCTGAAGTGAAACGCTATAGGACGAAGTTAATTTAAAAAAAATGTATTCGTTTTTTTCAGTTCGATACATTGGGCGACATCGAAAATGAATTGAGTGACTGCCTTGACGACATGGTGATACAGTTGATACCAGACGACCCCTCCGATCCTGGTTTCCCGAACATACCGACAGAACCAAGCGTACCGATTGGACCAATAGTACCAGCCGATATTGCTGCCAGTGAAAATAAACCTAAGTAAAAAAATATGCAAACTTTAAAAAAGCTTGTAATCTTATAAGTGCTAAGTTTATTGGAATATTGGTGATATTTTTTGGAAAAATTCTTTAATTAGTTTTGCCAGCGAATGGCTTTAATGTACTTTTATTACTTTTACTGCTTATATATTGAGTGTGTAATTTAAATTTCACAACGATGTAATGTAGTGCCAATTATTACACAAAGCTTTGTTTTATGAATTATATATTCTCTTGCTTTGAAATGAAAATCTTACTCAAATAACTTTTACGATTTGACAATTATTATCAAACGTGATAAAGTATTATGTTTCAATATCATATTGTGTACTTAAAATTCTTTACAAATATATTTTTGATTTTCTGCGTTATAAATTCAGTAGTTTTATTTACCAAATTTTTAATATTTAACAGAATATAGAATTAGCAATTTATAAGTACTGTGACTTCGTTTGGCTTATGAAATGATCTAAATTCCAGTTTTGTACATTTTGCCTTTAAAGAGAAAAGCTTTTAAAATAAATTTAATAGAGAAAGGCACTAAATTTTCGTCTAAAATATTGTTCTTAAATGTTAGCTAAGTATAAAAACAGATAATCATATTTATGTTATTCCTTAAATTGCACCTTTTCCCTCCATAAATTTGTAATTTAACATTCCCCAAACACCTAGAATACGAATAGGATAATTTAAACATCAAATCATTTTCACGCTGATCACTAATGCTAGCTTGATTTCTGACTTGATATGTCAAGGGAATGGATACACAATGTCGTAATTTATATTTTAGTACAGTTGCGTCAATGTCTGTAACTATTCTATATTAATTATATATTTTATTTTAATAGTTCTGACATTCAATACCTCTTATTGAATTGAAAACACTGCTTTCTATGTATGGTATCTTTTTATACACCAACATTAAAATATATGCTCTGTCATTTCATTCATTCTGTGGTTTGGATAACATAACAATCATGTATGGAAAGAAAAAATAACTCAAAATTTTTTAACTTTCAGCTTATTCACACTGTCACAATATTAATTTAAAATAATGTCAGTACCGGTAATTAACTGTTAAAGTTTTAATAAGACTATCAAGTAACGTCTGTTGTTAATCTTATTTATTATCTTGCCAAGTGATAACCTAATAGATATCGGACTCACTATCTACATTAACGTACACGTACTTTTGGACTTTAACACTATTTTTAATGTCATAACAATAATAACAAGAGTTAGTTCTGTTTTTCTTTCTAATAACTAGTACCTGGAGGACCGAGCTTTATTCGGTTTGTTCTTTTTTTTTAGTAAATCATGTATTTTGGAAATTACATTTAGATACAAATTACTGAGTAATGAAATATGCATAACATTTTTCGATCATACCGACGTAATAATATGAAAATATGAACTGTGTGTTTCACCAAAGAAAGAACTTTAAAAAATGGGAAATAAATAACAAAATCATCTGGATCGACAAAAAATAAAAAATAAAGAAAGCAAATCTGGAATCGAAAAAAAGTAAAAAAATAAATGTGTGATCGTGACACGAACCACGGCCTTCTGTTTAGGGGCCGCCCGATTACCGACCGAGCCATTATCAGATTTTTTTTTTCGATGAAATTTACCGTCTTATTAAAATGATATTTTTCATTCCGTGAAAACTGGGATAAAATGACATTTTCTAAAAATGAAACCTAGCCAGATCGATTTTTCGCCCTACTCGAATCTACGCACATACTAAATTTCATGAAAATCGCTGGAGCAGTTTCCGAGATTCCGTTTATATATATATATATTTGTATATATATATTGAAGACAAGACAAAATACAAGAATTGCTCGTTTAAAGGTACTAGATAGATATACTATAAAGTTTCGGCGAATATGTATCAAAAGTTTTACCACAAAAGACCGGACTGAAGTCGAAGTATTACGCTTTCGTGTTTCTCTCGGTGACTGACTTAACCTGGGCCCACTTTTTCATAGGTTGTTAGCGCTCTGCAAGCCCTCAGGTGTTGAATAAATAGACGGCGGTATTTATTTAAAATTAGGTGAACCATCTGTTCGCTTGACTACTTTAAAAAAAAATGTATATATTTTTATTTTTGCAATTTAGAAATAACGCACATTTTCCGTGGCGTTTGGTTGTAGGACCAGTTTAATTGAAATTGAAAATGATTAAAATCAGTTTTGTATAAAAATACGTCGACGTGCTATCCATTACTCTGGCTATCAACTTACTTGTTATGACCTGAACAATGACCTCTACCATCATAACCACTGCTACATCCAAATCATCGTAATTGGCTTGATAAACTCTCAATTTCTCAAAATCTGTTCTCAAATACCTTAATTTCACATTGTCTTCAAATGATTACTATTTTGTTACAGCGCCCTCAAAATGTGCAATAATAGATCACAGGAAGAATGGCGAAGCGTCTTGCGTTATATTTGCTCAATATTTTTGTCATCCCACAGCTTCGCGACATACATTTTTTTTAATATTCTTGCATCTTTTCGTTCACCTACCAAACTCTCACCAATTCCTGCGTTAAATGGTAGATAATGTCTTTGGCAATAAGTCTCCACCCTTTTTTACCTTGTTTAACTGCAATAAAGATTAAAAAAAAATACGACTATTTGCAGGAATTACGAATATATATAATTATTGATAAATTGCATGAATTGCTTGTTGAGCATATTATATCACACTTATATCCATATAATATGCTTTAGTTTCATCCTACCTGCTTTTAACAATTTCCAAACGACGTCAATCATTTTAACACTTGTAACGCACGATTAACAATTTACCGCGAATAGCGTTACTGCATATTTACCTTGTGGCTTGTATTTACATTACGTATAATGGATTCATAAATATTCCGTCCGTATATAATATGTACATTTCCTTAGTGTTGTGGCACTACAAAATCGTAATTTCATTTGAGCATTGACCATTCAAATGTTAAGGAATATTTTTCTGTTATTTCTGCTAGGATGCAATGTAAGTTGTTATTCTTTATTTCTATATACACGGCTGTGTTAAATGTTCTGAACATAAAATATAATGTATCTTAATGATAAAGATTAATAGAAAGAAGAAGAATCTTTAATTATGTTTTGAAATTAGCTGGAGTTTCAAAATTCATACAAATATATTTTTACTTGATAAGACATGCTAGACTTAGTAAATTCTGCGTAATTAAAATATGAGATAAACGTACAACTTCTACGTTTTCTTTCAGGGATATAGTGTGGTTCAATCAGAAAGGCCATAAAATTTTAACGACGTCGAAATGACTCCCTTAATTTTGTTTTACAGATAGAAGCATTTGTTCGGAGGGATCTGTCGTCAACAAATTCAAAGCCAAATATCCTGGAATCATTCCAAAACAATATTGACCAGTTTAGGAACTGCATAGATCAAAGCTTGGCTAAAGCAATAGGCGAGGTCAACGAGAAACAGGTGGAGCCAATCCTTACTGTAGTCGGGGATCAACTAAATAGGATTTCTAAAGCGGTGAGAGCATATAAAGATCGATGAAGTCCGTATGGTTTATTATTTACATTTTAAAAACGAAATTATGAAATACTTGTATCAAAAAAAAATATTTTATTACATTACACATTACAAAAGCGATGTTGCTAATGAGTCAACACATAGCAGCATATATATATATATGTCCCGTTGCTGGGCAAAAGCCTCTCTGTACAGAGGGCATTAGGGCATAGTCTAGCAATTACACTGCGAATTGCCGGACTTCGAAATATTTTTGAAATATTTTTTTTGTTATTTTTATGCTGGTTTCATCACGACGCTTTCCTTCACGGCTGAGCACATTATAAGTCAGCACTATAAATTAAAAATTTGGTGCCGGTACTGGGGATTGAACTCGGGTTGCTCGAGAATATTGAATTAAAAACGAGATCACGGATAATGAGCTCTCATGGCGTTCGAATGACAGTAGTCGTGACAAACTATTGAATGTAAAGTCTGTCAACAGTGTATTTGAACGATTTGAATATACTGGTAAGCTAATAAATGATCAAACATCCATATTTTGACAGTTTTTGTAAATATTATCGATCATTATATTTGGATACATATAGGATGACTCGGTAGAGCAGTTGGTGGAATTACGTTTTATTAGTCATCTCAATATAATATTCTGGTGTTAAAGAAAAAAAAGCATTGTTGATGCCTGTATATGTCCGTCTGATGGCGTTTTAATTTTCTATATTTAGTTTTTCTTTAATTTTTCAATTTTTTTTAATTTTTCTTTATTTCTGATATCTCCGAAATATTTTAAAAAGGTGCAGGTTTCCTCACGATATTTTCCTTAAATACTGATCTCATTATAAATCAGCAATCAAATTGCAATGAAATCTTTCATTAATACCCGCACTGGGGTTTGAAATAGTTTTCTCGTCACTACATAATATAAAACAAAGTCGTCCGCTGTCTGTCTGTCCCTATGTATGATGAGATCTTTAAAACTACGCAACGGATTTTGATGCTGTTTTTTTACTAGATAAAGTGATTCATGAGGATGGTTTATATGTATAATACATTGCACCCATGCGAAGTCGGGGGAGTCTCTAGTGTATAAAAATATAAAACTCGCAAACTAATTGTTAATTCTGATGATAACGACGATGATCTTAACATTATGTTATACTGATATATATTCTATTTTTGCAGTTCGATGACTTAACGGCACCTAAAACACCCCAAAAATAGGCACAAGAAAAGTTTTCATTCAAAGCGTACTTGTCTTTTCTACAGCAAAAGCATAATGAAATTATGTAAAAGAGGGAACATAGAGGGATATAATTTAATGACCGTGCCTTATCTTGCAAGGCATTAAACATGTAGTTTTAGTGAAAGCATATGCAAGTCACGTCTTGCTTGAATATAACATTGTATAAAACAATGTATAATAAAGTTTAAACAAATGTATAAACCTGCACATTGTAAGTAAAATGTTTTAATAAAAATGGAACGATCAGTTAGTTTTTTATAAATTTACAAAGCATATGCAAGTCACATCTTGCTTTAATATAACATTGTAAAATAAAGTTTAAATAAATGTATAAACCTGCACATTGTAAGTAAAATGCTGTAATAAAAACGGAACGATGAGTTAGTTTATTTTAAATTTACAAAGCATATGCAAGTCACATCTCACTTGAATATAACGTTGTAAAATAAAGTTTAAATAAATGTATAAACCTGCACATTGTAAGTAAAATGTTTTTATAAAAACGGAACGATCAGTTAATTTGTTATAAATGTACAAAGCGGTGACGTAGATTTCTTTGAATACAGTTTTTATCATTTCAATGTTGATCACTTGATAATTTTAAGACACTTGAGGACACCAATAACTTTTCAAATATGTAAGTGCAACAACATAGTAAGCCGTAAAATTTTGTTAAGAGGTGGAATGTATTAATAAATAACTGGGTTTTTTTATTTGTTTTCTACATTGCCCTTTACTACAGGATAACATTATCCTGTGTTGTAAGGACGTTTTACGTTTGTAATTTATGTAAATTTTAATGAGATATAAGGAAATTAAATACTCATTTTAACGGTATTAAATAATTAAAAATTTTGTTGTAGAATACATATTCTGATATATTAATAGCATACATATTTTCTGTTCATTGCCACTCTTCTTTCATTGTTACATTGATCGGAGAGGACGTGATACTTTTTTAAGTTAGAAGGTGGCAAATGAGCTTTCGGTTTACCTGATGTTAAGTAATAACCGCCGCTCATTGACATTTGCAACACCCGTAGGGTTGCAGATGCGTTTCCACGTTGTATATCGGTCTTCTGCGATTATGCAACAGCGAAAATTGTTGCATGGCCCTACCACGGTAAACATCTTTATACTGAATACGTCATTACTTGAACCATTTAACAAGAAAATAAGTGTTATTTTATGTTACTGAATTCCTGTATCCGGTCTGTAGACAAGTTTAATAACTGCCTAAAATATATGTGGTAATGGTGGTAAATAGTGAAATGATGACTTTAAAGGGTATTATTAAATGATTAAGTGCTTGCCATTTGCTTATGCCATAAAAGCATCCACAGCTATGTAGCTGTGTAGGTTAGGTTCATAACCTATGTTGGGTAGGTTAATACAATAAATTGACACCATCAAGCAATTGATTGAAGAAAAAAATTGAAGAAAAAAACAATAAAATGATGATTACTAAGAAAATACTTTTTTTTTCTTTAAGACGAATTGTAAGATACTTATAAATAATAATATAATACGCTAGTTTCTAGTAATTTAAATCAATTAAGTATTAAATAGTACAACAGATTAATTTCAGAGTCTATTATGCTCCTGACTGCTTTAGAAATCCCAGACGACACTTAAGATTGGTTCCAACTGCACCTCGTTAACCCTCGCTTATTGCTTTAGCCAGGCTTTGATCTATGCAGTTCCTAAAGTGATCAATATTCCGTTGGAATTATTCCAGGGTACTTGGCTGGGAGAATTTCGGCGGAGCATTCCATATTAAGTTTAGTTGTGCGTAATTAGGAAAACGTAATATTACAATACTACGAGTATATATTGCATAGAATACACAGGCAGTGTAAGTTGTATGTAGCCTCAATTTAATTTTATGGAAAACTTTAACTTGGAATGCTTACTTGGAATATAAAGTAAAAAATTATCGCCGAATATATAACGTTTGTGATAAACAAAAGCCTCTGTCAAATTAATTGTCAAAAATGCTATTTCTGTCATTAAAAGTAGTATGTCAATCCAAACCGTATTTAATAACAAATTTTAAAGTCATCATATCACATATTGATAGTTCTTAAACTTGTATATATTTCTAATTTTTTGCCCGCGGCTTCGCTCGCGTTGAAGCCCTTAAATATGTACTTATATGTATATGTACTTATATATGAATCATAGTTCACAACATGCTTTACCCGTTCCTCTCAGTTTTACTCAAATAAATTGAAAATGGCACGAATGGGCAGGTACGTCCGTGTGAGTACCAAGACCTCACAGAAGACCGGTGTAAAGTAGAAGTGTTGCACTTCTGCGTTTCATCTGGTGAGTGAGGTAGCCGGGGCCCACATTATTAACAGGTAGCATCTGCATCACTTAACATCAGGTGAACCGCCAGCACGTTTGCTTTTTTCTCACATAAATAAAACAGAAAATTCCACGTCCGATCTGTATTATTGTATCTGTGTTATCTGTAGGTATTTTTGGTGTGAATATTTTTACTATGGTACGGGCACAGAGCATCATCTACTATTGTACCAATGGACAGGCTATTCTGGGTAAGAACCATGACCTTACAAAAGACAGGCGCGTGAAAATAGAATGTAGAAGTGGAAATATTATACTTTGCATTGTATCTGATAAGCGAGGTGCGCGAGGTTTTTTAATGGCTGGCCGTTGCCAATGAGCTTTCAACAAAGTTCTATATATAAATAAATCCTATTCCTATATTTATATATAAATAAATAAATAAATACTTAGGACACATTTTTACACAACGTTCTCTAGTCCCAAACTAAGCAAAGCTTTTATTATGGGTACTATATAACTGATAAACATACTAAAACATACTTTTCTTTTGTAAATAAATACATATTATAGATATATAAACACTCAGACACTAGAAAAACACTATGTTCATCACACAATATTTTTCTAGTAGTGGGGATCGAACCCACACCCTCTGGCGCAGAAGGCAGGTACACTACCCACTACGCCATTCGGGCCGTCAATTATTTCACATCAGGTGAAACAATTTCTCGAGTGCCATCTCTTCATATGAAAATATGTAATCGCAATTCTATTTTTCGATGTAGCAAGTAAAATGAGTGTTTTATATTTTTTTTATTATTTTTTCAATAAATGAAATATCTTTGCGCTAAATGTTTATGAAAAAGACTCGATGACTCCGTGGCGCGGTTGCCAAGGTATTTGCTACGGCGTTGCGGGATAACTATTTGTGTGACCCACAAATAGTTGTTTCGTATCTGGGTGTTTGTCCGCGTGAAATGTATGTTTGTAAAACGTCCTTACAAAACAGGATAATGTTATCCTAAAGTAAGAGCAAAGTTTTAAAAATAATAAAGAAAAGAAAGAGCATTGATCCTTTATTATATTCGCCCTTGAGCCGCACTAAGGTACTTTTCATTAGAGCTTATTAGATCTGGTGTCAGAGTTGAATGTCCCAAAGAGAACCACTTATATGCCTTAGTGATGTCTAGTGAGTATGCTTTGTTATACAGGCTTTGATAAATGTGGTGTCAACGATGCCCGAAATATTTTATGCCCACTTATCAAACTAGCACGATATAAGTACTCTACATTTCCTTAAAAATACACACATCATAGCTTTTTTGGATTTGATTTGTTCCTTTGACGAACGTACAACGGGTAAGAGATTTTGATGTATGTATACACTAAATAAAACAGAAAACGATATAAAATGAATTTTTTGACTGAGTGATACCAGGTTCATGTGTACTGACAATTGGATTCTCGATTTTTCTTCGAGTCTTTTAAGCAACTGGTACAGAACACTTTGAGATTTATTTTTCTATGCAATTTCTATGAAAAATGAGGCAATCTTGGAGGTGGGCCACTTCATAGTAGGTGTTCATCGTCGCCCATGGACACTCGCAACGCCAAGATAAATGCGTTGCCGGACTTAAGGGATAGGCTCTCTTCTTAAAGGTCCCTAAGCCGTATCGGTCCGGAAATATCGAGGTGGTAGCGACGGTATTTGGCTATATGGCGCGTCGTATGCGATAATAATAACGTCTATTATTTGGAGATACTTTACTACTCTTGTAAGGCCCCACAAAAGTTTTTTTGACGTGCAAAGTCTTCATCGACCTAGTCGATGAAAGGGTCAAAGATGCACCGGGCCCACTGAAGTTCATACACTTTTGGATATGCGATTTCGTGCATTCAAGAATTCCTGCGCCCACAATAGTAACGGTGCTAAGAACAATACTAACTGAAGAATGGGAAAAAATTACCAAAAATCCTTTGAAAACCTTTATCAGGTCCATGTAAAACTGATTCGAAGCGGTAATAAGGGTATACTTGGAGATAATAAACCTCGTTAAAAGAAAAATAAACTGAAATTGATAATTAAATTGTAAAGTTAAAATTTTGTTGTTTTTCGTTTTCAATAAGCAAGCTAAATCAACCCATATGATACTACGTTGTTTAAAACATGATGAACCAGTAATAATTATTTATTAAAAATCGTTTGTACTTTGATGCAGTTTGTGTCCGTCCGTCCGTGTATTATGTCTATGAAAGTTGAAACATTGATATTTTATTCATTTATTTTCTATAATAATACCAATACAGAGCATTTATATCTAATTAAGATTCGTTACACTAAGAAAAAGGCATTGAGTACACTTATTACTCATCTTGTATATATAAAGATAATATACGTTTACGCAAGCTCACAGATCTTTGATTGTTGTAGGGGAGGAAGTGACACCGCGCTCTACCGAGCTTAGTTCTTAATCTCACAGTTAATAATGAGACAAGAAATTATATATATATATATATATATATATATATATATATATATATATATATATATATATATATATATATATATATGTATATAGAAGGCATTGTTATTTGTTACGAAGATTAAACCTCGTGACAGCTGATTGTAATACGACAACCAAAATTCCTGCTCACAGTGATGACAGTTTGTTAACAATGGTTTTGTATGATTAAATTTTTCGATATTTATGCAAACATTACACGTTCGTGAATGAAACGATTTAAACGGATTTATTCATTTAATTTTAAATTCATAGCATAGCTGACGTAAAGCATAAAAGATCAAAGATATCCATAAAAGATTACAAGAGAAAGAAATCTTACAAAGAGATTATCAAGAAATAAATTATATACGCAGTGGGCAACGTCTTTTTTAATCGGTTGACATTGTGACACTTTACAGTTTTTAAGCATCATGGACCCGGGACTCTATGATGCTTAAAAACTGAAGTCTACTTGTGTTGTAAGAAACTACGTTTAAAAAGACGTGGAAAACCAGCAGGTTAAAACCACTGAACCTTGGAGTGCTGTTTTTTCATATTACAACCTCATATATTGTTTACCTCAGACACGGTAATGAGAAATCGAATGTCACCCGTTTTAAGTTGTTTATTCAGTACTGTTCGTGTCCGATTATAAACCTGATACCGTAAACTGAGCACAAGTTTCAGACAGTGATTTTTGCACGTAACGAACCCTAAATGTGCAAATCACAGCACGCATCCTTCACGCTTCCTTTAAACCCTTGGCTATAAACTTTGCAAATTCGATGTCCAGCCAATTAAGTCATTAGTCTTTCCAGTATGTATTTTTAAATACATACTTTGAATAACTTCACATTTATTCACTTGGAATTTCATGAATTTTAGAATAAACAAAATAGATATTTTTGTTATGGGTTAATAGCGTAAGGGATTAGCGTACGGTCTCCACAATGTAAGGCTGTGGGTTTGAAACTGTGGGTTGTAACTATTATCGTTTAACATCTAATGTTGACTATCTTTTAAGTTTTTAGCACTTGATGAACCTATCATTGATACCATTAATGCCTCAAAAAATTTCTTCAAACATAAAAAATATCAGTGTCCGGGCACGCCCGCCTTTAGATCAAAATACGCGAGCAACCTGAGATCGATCCCCGGGTCCCGGCACCAATGAAATTGTCAATTTTAAGTGCCTACTTATCACGTGCTTAGTGGTGAAGAAAAACATCGCGAGGAAACCTGCATATTTTAGAAATAGTAATATATAAAAAATATTTCGAAAATATGTGAAGTCCGCCAATCCGCAGTGGGACCACGTGGCGGACTATGCCCTGATACCCTCTGTACATATAGGCTGATACTTTACTTTTTAAAAATAATAGTATTTGAAGCATGCTTTCGTTTAATTGGTGGCCGGATTCCCTCTCTCTTTGAAACAGACTTCCATGCAATCCTCTTGGTGATATTTGTGTGAAAAAGGTCTTTCAAGTGGAAATATTTAAATTACATTTTTTAAATTGTAATTACCATTCGTTATAATGTTTTATGGAACAGGATGAATATCACTGATTTAAATTCAAATATTTTGCTATAATATGGTATACTTCTAACTAACGCAATGGTTTTTCAAATATTAACTAAAAATGTTTTCATGTTAAAGTAGTGGAGACACAATGTGCGTATTATGCCTCCATAATTTTTCCATGAATATGACTGATCGTCTTAGCATATGTTATATCTATCAGTTTATCAAAAAAACTGCTTATATGAAAGAGCACATCGAAAATTTAAAGCGATATTTATAATCATATTATAATAGTCATTAACACAGATAAATAGGAAATAGAAATGCACAAACTAGTGCAAATATAATGTAACGACACTAATTACATGTGGAGTACATTCGCGTAATTACGGGCAGACCCTCTTGGGTACAAAATGATTAAATAGAGTAGGTAGTAGCTACATAGGAACATAGGTACATTTACAGCTGTATAATATTATTAACAATTCAAAATGAAAATGTCTTTTATCAAATACCTTTAAAGTATTAGACATACTTACTTGTTTTCATTGTTGTGACATTAAACAGTGGTGTGAATTGTTGTCGTTACTGATAAAAGTTGAAAAAACTATTATTTTAAAAGAATTTTGAATTGATTTCTAAACGTGACTAAAATGCCAATCAATGCTAAGTGGTGTTGTAAATAATTTTGTAGGCGGTAAACAAAATAGCCGAAAGAAGAAAGCTTTTTCACTATTTTCTTGCAGCACCGAAATTTTCATTGTACTCTATAGACGCGGAGTGAACAGAAAAAAATAGTCAAATCAAGTCTGTCTGTCTGTCAACCGCAGTTGGGTCGCATGATGTACTTTGACCTAATATCCTATATATAGAGGAGGGTTGCTTAGCAATGAGACATATAAACTTTACTTTATTGACTTAAATATTTTTTATTATATAAATAGCGCATTAAACTCAGTATGGTCCTGTAAGGTGTAACTTAATATTCACGTTTCACAAAAGACCCACTTTATTTTATAAAAGAAGCTCGCCAATGCCCCATTTCCATAGACATCACCAGAAGGTACATCGCACCGGATAAAAGGAGGAAGATAAGAGAACGAATAGAAAATACTTCGTCTTTACTCCTATCCCTTTTTTAATGTGAGAAGTTGTGCAAGGAGGCGGTTCACTTGTTGTTAGGTGATCACCGCCGCCCCTCGGCATCCCCGGACGAACCTACATTTACGTGTAACAACCGAAGCTATTGCGTGGTCCTACTACTGTTGCCTTGAAAGGCTGTGGTTATTTTTAGGTAGACCTGGCCCGTTCATGTACATGTAGGCAATCGCTCCAAGACTGTTCCTTTCTAGATTTATTTTCATTCCAATCACCCATATTAATTTAAATATTGTTAAATTTAATTATATTATTTAACTCTTTGATAAAACAACATATCATTAAATATTATCTTTAGCTATAGAACAGTGACCGCTGTGACTCACTTTATCTATAGCTATTATTAAACAAAACGTTAACGCTAATAAAACGAATGAATGCCTAATTTTTATTTTCTTGAATACCCGATCATATTTTTTCGTTATAATATATATACACGTCTATAATATGACCTATGCATTTGAATAACTTACGTTACAAATGGTGCAATTCTTTCGATAATGCCAATAGTTCTGGAGTTTACACTCCACAGTCATGAATTTTTTTTAGTCATGCTGACATTATAAAGTGTATTTCTATATAAAATATAGATTCGTTTAATTGCGTCAGCTTTTATTATCTACAAAACTTTTTTTTTAAGTGGAAAGTTGCCAAACGAGCAGACGGTTCACCTGATGTTAAGTGAATACCGCCGCACATGGACATCTGCTACACCCGAGGGTTACAGATGCGTTGACAACCTTTTGAAAATTAGACTCCGGCTACCTCACTCACCAGACGAAACGCGAAAGTATTTGTCATACTTCCACTTTTCGCCGGTCTTCTGTGAGGTCGTGGTACTTACCCAGACGGGCCTGCCTATTCGTGAACAGCCGAGGCTGCTGCGTGGCCCTACCACCTTATATTATACACCTCGTATTACTACCACTTTATTTTCAAATTAGTAGTATATTTAAAAATATTTCCTGAAGTATCTAAAAAGCAATTAAATTTCACGAGTTACTTAAGAATTAATTAATTTACAGCTATCGTCAACTTGACCTTAAATCGACCTCAGATGTGATCAGGATGGTAAAAATATTTGCAAAGAATATTTGGTGGTAATATTGACACTATTTTAGATAGGATTGGATACACGACTGCAGGTAGTCAATACCTCGACAACGGCGCCAACTGAGCCATCGGCAGCCAGTCATCCAATGTGCATAAGTTTTTGTATACTGTATATTGTCTGTGTATTCGCTTTGCATCGAAAAAACGAGTCAATAGCAGTGAACGCAAGTAAACACTGAAGAATATTTTATTAGCGTTCACTGGTCAATAGTCAATTAGTGATTGTCCACATCCCGCTTAAGAGATGGAAATTAGAAGTCAAATACGATAATTCGTTGATAGCGTACGGAGCGTTGCAAACTCATTTGTAAATTGGCTTTCCTGGAAGCGATAACAAAGGTCACCGATAAAATGAAGAAACTTGACATGAGAGGAACTAGATAAAGGCAGTCGTTTGGTTAGAGTGAAGTTTATACTCCATCCTTCTTTCGAGTTGCAAAGTTGTGCCACGCGTGGACATCGGATTATAAAAATGAACAAACTTTTTATCGTTCTTCTGGCGGTCTGCCTTGTCAGTGTAAGTGTTTCTTGCGGTTGATTGTTTTAAATTATGATATATTTCACATTTAAAATAATTACATAATATCTTTGGAACCATATAAATGATACATAATTGAGGATTTAGATTGTAAATAGGATAATTTTCGTTTTATAAAATGGCAATGAGAAATATCATGCCTATTATATTTATTACTTTTGGGGTGCAATTTACTTGAGGTAGAAATATTTCCTTTAAATGATCGACCAAATGACGCTACAATTACATTACCAAGAAATTATTTAATCATAGTTATAAACTTATATATCTTTTCGCACTTTTTCTACATATTTTAATGTTCAATCTTAAGTGCAAAGATTAGCACTATAAACAATTTAAATTTCTAAAAAAAAGCAATGGTGACATCTCTCGTTCGAATTATCGTTGTAAAACGATATTCGAAATTGTTTGTATGCTGGAAAGGATATAACAATAGATGGCGCCAAGCATTGCTTCAAATGCTAAGAAAACAATGTAGAGGAATGCCTTAAGATTTTCGTCGGTGTGGTCATCAGCCGTTTAGCTCAGTGGCTAGAGCGTCAGGCCGCGAATGCCGAAGACGTGGGTTCGATTCCCACAGCGGCGACAATCTTTTCGCACTTTTCTACATATTTTAATGTTCAATCTTAAGTGCAAAGATTAGCACTATAAACAATTTAAATTTCCATAGTTATAAAGTTAAAAATAAGAATATCTAAAGACGTAAATTAAATTAAATAATGTTTGGCTTCAAATTCAAAGTACAACGAATTCATTTGAATCTTTAAATAACCGCGCTGGCTTTTAGTTTTGTCACTTGTATAATAACAGTCAAAAATCTTGCATTAGCTAAGCGACTGATAAGGCATTTACTTATTATGATCGGTCAATCCCGGTAAAAGTCACTGGTTATAGTAATCTAATGAAGCATCTTCGTTTTTCATCCATAAATTAAGAAATAAAAATTAACTACAATAACGTATAGGTGCACGCCTTTGTGAAAAGAGATGCCGAAGAAGCCAGCAATGCCGCCACTGGAGCAGACATTCAAAAACAAGTCCAGGACATAATTAACACGATCGGTGCGAAAATCAGCGAATCATTGAGCCCTGAACAGTTAAAAAAGAACTTTAACAACGTCGTCGATGAAGTACAGAAATCTGTAAGTATTTTCTCTCTGTAGCTAGACACATCATGCATATTTTCAGAATTATTATATTTGCAGAACTAGACAATGTCTCTTCTGTTGCATACATATACTGTTTCATCGGGACAGTGCCACGTCAGACAGACACGGACAGTGTCAGACTAAAGGCGGGAAGTTGTCAATTTTCAAACTCCTAGGATGTTGCTGATGTTGAGCGTTTTTTATTGCACTAATTAAAAAAAAGGACAGCTCGCACGACAAACAAATCTTTGTATTTTATTATAAATTTCTGGACCGAATTAAATCAACTGATACAGTTAACAAGGTCACTAATGTGACACACACATCACACATCAGCATCACACAGATCACAAACGTCAGCATGTGTTTTTTGAATCATAAAAAGGATTTTGCGTAAATATACTAAAAAAACATAGAACCCACATTTCAAGATAAGGGTTAGATATGAACTTAGCTAAACGCTTGTCTGATTATGGGTATGATTATAAAAAATATGCACAACTGAAATTAAACTTTGTCTTTAATTTTTTTCAGCTCAATCAATTGAAGGCAAATTCCGAAGCTGCCAAAAATTAAGCGCCGAAGAAGCCTCCAATATGTAACCAATATATAAAAATCTGTTTAACGGCCAGCATTACTAAAAAGATAAAAATTACAACATTTTCCCTGTTTTACTTTACTAAAATCCTTTTAGATCTATCTGTTTTGACACATCTTAAGTAAGTACTGTTGTTCCCGAGACTTGACTTTTATTTGGAGTGTAAATGAGTGTAATAAACTTCATGGGATAAATGTGTACCATTTTAAATCTTCTTACTAAATATTTAACTAAGTGAGCATAGTAAAAGACGATAAATTTGTTCTGATATGATCTAAATGTTATTAGAAACTGTAGGTTTATGAAAACCACGGATTTTTTTTAATTTAATTTCTAACTTCTGTAGTGAAAAAAGCGTAGGCTAAAATCCAGTTTTTTTTAATACCTGTTACAATAATTATCTGTATCTGTATTGTGAATATTTTTAAACATATAATTCTACTTTACGTGTGTTGTCATTGACGTCCTCTTAAACGACTGGACCGCTTTGTATAATTTTTTTTTGTATATCTTTGGGTGGCACCCTAGATGGTTTAGATTCACAATTTTTTTGGTTTTTTTTTAATTTATAAGTTAAGATTACGTCTGCCCGATCCGCTAGTATCATATATTTCATTGTACTAATAATTCGAAATTCACATTTATTTGATGACATCACCTATAAAAAATTGAAGTTTATTTGTTTATTATGTTTATTTATATACACTTTGATTTTTCTATGATATTACTGTTTCAATAAATCAAAATTGATAAAGCGTAGCATATATTCAAACACAATACCAATAAACACGCTAAGACCAGTTACCAACACAAACAATACAATTCACAACAATTGAATGCAACACGCAATTTTGGTTTGACCGCTTTCGTTAAGGATATTTTGATCTCATCGATAACTAAGTCCAGTGATCAACCAGAGTTGAAAATTGATCACTATGCATTAAAAGCCGCAGTGGATGCAGATTCATCTTAAAGCTTGTCGGAGTTACCGATACACGATGAAACAATACACTCTGAAAATGGGTACCAACGATGCGCACATAACCACGAAGAAGCTTTGACTTATTGAATAATCATAGAAATGAAATCTTAATTCAGAATGTCACTTGTAAAAACTGTATCCTTTATGACAATCAAAACGACCCTTGCAGTAGTTGGACAACAAAAACATGTCCTCAACGCAAATCTATTCAAAGGAATCTGGTTGTGAGTGTGATGGAACCGAGCCAGTATTGTTAGTTACAGCTTCTTGCGATCGGACACAACAATTTCTGCAGAGGTGTGGAGAAATGAAAATGATGTTGGATAGCAACAATTTCTGCAGAGGTGTGGAGAAATGAAAATGATGCTCTCTGTCAAACTGTTATGACTTGGGAATTGCTCTAGTCCACGGGAACTACGCAATTAGGCAAGTCTCAGATCTAAACCATACTGACTAGATATTTTTTCAATGGAATAGTTGAATGGTTTCAATTTTAGTCTTAAGAACGGTGTAAAACTTCATTGAAACGTATCTTACCTGAACCACCGACCCTCAAAACCGTTTTACTGAATTCGTAATACGCTGCGGTTCTAAGGAACTTGGTTGAGGTTATGAGTTAGGTTACGTAAGTAAACAATTTTTGGTTCATTAGTCTTGGCACCGTTAATGTCGTTAAGCAGACCGCGGTGGTTACAGTTATTTAGAATGAGCAGGATTTTTTTGATCAAAACTATTGAGTTTTGCGTATGAAAAGTGACATTTACTAAGCTTCCCGAAATCTTAAATACATTCTATATAGTTTTTCACAGTGGTAGGTCAAATATCACAGAATATGGAAGTGAAGTGAAAGTTACGGCGAGTGGAGGCGATATTAATTTTAGTTTGCTTTATGAATAAGATGACTTACATCCTCAGTTTTAGTTTTAACACGCGAACTTTAAACGTGGAAAAATGCGACAGTTTAAATGTATTACCTCGACCGTATAGACAATAATAGTTTTTTAAATGAACAATAAAAATTCTGGCTGAGCGGCGGTAATGCTTTGAGCGCTTCCTCACTTAGCATATAAACTACTTCTTTCTAAATTTTACATTCGTAGAGGAGCTCAAAACTTCGGAACTTAAAAAAAAAAGTGTTTTGTTTAACATTATTTAAAGAAAATTCAGTTGTGCGAAGAAATTTATTGTGCGCGTGAAAGTATTATTGTTAATAACACTCACCTTTTTAATTTATTTATGGAATTGAATTTAGAAATATATAATATTAGGCGGTACAAAGCTTATTTGTCACTTTTGTACAAATGTTACAACCTATCAGACCAATAAAAAAGTAAAGACGAAGCCGACGTAAACAATACCTACGAATTATGTGAGGACAAGCTGACACTAAGCTTGGTTTGCTTAACTCAGTGTAAGATCTCTCTCCGCGACAATAAATAAACACACGTCTAACGCTACTTGCCAATAATCATAAAAAATATTAACGTTAAAAAAATTCATAATTAAAAAAAATATTTTTCAAACAAACTAATTAAGAAAAAAATAATATTTCAGAATCAAAATTTGTAACGTCCTATACAACTACAACTGAGTGATTCATACATTCAGAGACTTTTTCATTCGTTGCCACAGTGTCGCATTACAAGCCTCTCCTTCTAACGGTATGTTTTGTCTCTTTTAAATTCATTCAACCCATTGTTTGTGATCTTTACAAATGAACATTACGTTACAGTTTTATAGGTAAGGGCGTTGTAAAACTTTGTTTTTGAAAATTTAATAACTCTATAAATATTGATGTTTAAAGAATGTAAATGTATAATACAATTTTAAAAACACGCTGTATATCCAAAAATACTGCAAGCGTAGTGTTGCGTTCCAAGTGCGAGAGAAATACTTCAGTGAAAAGTTTAATTTTTAGGGGTTATTATGCTTTATTTGTCTTGGTTTATAAATTTTTATAGGATGCTATACAGCTACAATCGGTCTAGCTGTGTATAAATAGTATTGAAATAGTTCACCGAGTATCGTTATATAATAATACGCAATTGACTCAAGCTGTATAGATTATTTTAATGGATTGCTCAAGTCGTAGAAAACATTAAGCACTACTGATATTAAATGTCGACTAAAGTCTTTATTAACTAAAATGAATATTCTGCCTTAAATTTTTTTAAAGACGACTATATTTCTAGAAAAATTATTAAAATTGTACATTGTAAAAAACATTGATATTGTATAAATCATAATTTATTAATATTCTAATTTAATAATTTTACTAAGAAAAGTCTTAGCTGTTACGTTATAATTCGTATTCCGAGCAATTATGTCAAATATTTTTTCGTTTCTATTTAAATTATTAATAAAATCGGTTACTTTCTCGTGAAATGTATAACACCAGAACAATTTTTGGAAAACATGAATAATTGTTTTTGCAGCCGTTTGTGACACAGGACGGCATAATTTTTACTTTATTAATTATTACTTTATTAAAACTACGACATGCACTCTCACTCACTTGAGGCAGAATCGTCGAAATCGTCTTCATATTACGTGCCTGACTTAATTTTTTTTATGTTAGAAAGTGGCAAACGACCTAGCGGTTCACCTGATGTTAAGCGATAACCGCCTGCCCATGGACATTGGCAACACCCGTAGGGTTGCAGATGCGTTGCCACCTATTAATAATGTGAGCCACGGCTACCTCACTCACCAGACGAAACGCAGAAATACAACACTTCTACTTTACGCCGATATTCTGTGAGGTCGTGGTACTAACCCGGATGGACCTGCCCATTCGTGCAACAGCGAGCACTGTTGCGTGGCCCTGCCACCGTAATATATTACCGCAATGTTCTATCTGTACTTAGTCTGAGATCGTTTATTTTTTACAGCAAACCGGAGAAGAACGTGGCTATGTGATTGGATTGAAAAAAATAATGAAAAGCTTACTTCACTGTCGCAGAAAATGGATGTCCAGTCTCTTCTCAACAGAAACTGGGTGGAAACCAAACCGGTGGTACCGTACGAACCTATATATAATTATAATTTTTTATGTATTGACGATTCATAAGAACGTGCAAGCGTCCATTTGAATAAAGATATTAGATTGATTGATTGAGTACCACGACGTCACAGAAGATCGGCGTGATGTGGAACTATTACACTTCTGCGTTTCGTCTGGTGAGTGTCCGAGGTCCGCTTTATAAAAAGGCGGCAATGCATCTGCATCCCTATAGGTCTGCAAATGTGCGGCTGTTATCAGTTATAATCAAGTGAACAAAGCTAGCTCGCTTGCCGAATATTGACATAAGAGAAAGTGTTTTTTTAATGAACAGCTACTGAAGGCTGATAACTAATATTAGTTTAGTAAGGAATTTTACGTGGCGTTGGGCGCTCGGCTTAAAAATATTACATAAGCAAAGACAATGTAGCTAGGAACTACAAACTTTAGTGAAATAAATTTCCGATTAAAAAATAAAAGAACGGAATCGTTTTAAATCTTTTTCGGAACATTAACAAAAGAAATGTAGTGTAAGTCGCTGGAAAGCTCGAGACAAGACGGTCCGAGACGCTCAAATAGGATCAGTCGGGGCTTTGTAAGGTTGTCTTATCGAGCAGCAGGTCCCATGCATATTAAAGCCACATCCAGACTCAGTTGGCGACTGCAGAGAATTTTTGTATTAGACGATAAAGAAATGCCCCGTTGTGACCATAGATTACTCGAATATTAATCTTATGGTAATTCAATTATTTTACGTCGGCGTAAACTCGTGTCCTACTCTCAATTCCATAAAAATCTTAATGAAATACCAAGCAAATTTTCAAGTACACATGAAATAAAATCTAAAACATTGGTGAAAAACGATCAGTATTATGATCTTACAACTCAAACGAAAATAGAAAGTAAGTATCTATATAATTAAAAAAATATATGTGTAAACTACTCTATATACAAAACACTTTAAAATGCAGCTTATTAACATCGCAGTGAAG